AAAGAATTTACTTCTAGGCCTGATTTCCCCTGGGAACCACCAGATCCAGTTTAGGGCTGTCTCTAGTATTGTTTCAATCTTGAGCCAGGTGGGGGGAAGGGCAAGGCAACCAGGAAATAAGTAAACTTCTTTCAGATAGAATTACCCCGGCCATATCAAAGCCAAGCCAAGGGCTACGGGTCTTTTTGCCCTTTCTTCGTGTACCCCAAGTTTTTTCCCTGATGCCCATGTGGCTGTGCCTGTCTTTGGTTGTCTCTTCCATCGCGGGGTCTTACCCATCATTGACTAACCAGCCATCCTTCAGGGCCAAGCAGGGTGATGAGAGGGTGGCAGGGGCTGTGCCCCTGCCAGGGGAACGGGTTTCATCACCTCAGTGGCCTGTTTTCTCAAGGCCTCCTTGATTAGTTTCAGCCTTGGGGCCCTCTCACCTGTCAGCGAGGCTACAGTTCCTGAAACCAGACAGGGCTTTTCCCAACACTCCCTAGCCTGGAGCCCTGCTCAGGGAGGTTCTGTAAGTCTTGGTTCCTACCTTTGGAGTGAGGATCATCATGCTAACAGAAAGCAAGGAGGGAGGGAGAACAGGTGAAAAGGCTGCTAAAGATGATTTTGGGAGAAGTATTGCATGGTACTTTGTACTTATTGGACATATAAGCATTATTTGAGGCGTATACACCTCCCAGTCCCAATTCCAGAAGCCCAGATCCCCCATCAACATTTCAGTATGCATTCTGATAATTATCTTCTTTCAAGATCGTGGACTCCCGGCCAAGATGGAGGCATAGGTAGATGCACTTTGCCTCCTTCCACAACCAAAAGAAGGACAACAACAAATTTAGACACAAAAAATAACCAGAACTGCCAGAAAATTTAACCGTATGGAAGTACAAAAACCAAGGAGTTAAAGAAGAAACATTCATCCAGACTGGTAGGAAGGGCAGAGATGGGCAGCCGGGGTGGAAAGGACATGCAGCAAGGCAGCAGCTGGAGGACCTGGCAGTCCCACATTTGCATGAAGATAAACCAGGAGAAACAAATGGGGAGTAAGACAGACCACACAACCCAGGGTTCCAGCATGGGGAAAGAAAGCCTCAAAATCTCTGGCTGTAAAAACCTGTGCAAGTTATGGTGGCAGGAGAAACTCCCAGCCTCACAGGAGAGTTTGTTGGAGAGACCCATGGGGTCCTACAATGTACACAAAACCACCCATCCAGGAATCAGCACCTGAAGGGCCCAATTTGCTTGTTGGTAGTGGGAGAAGTGACTGAAAGACAGCTGAGAGCTGAGCAAGCCACATTGTTCCCTCTCTGACCCCACCCCCACATACAGTGCCTCAACACAGCGATGTGGTTGCCCTGCCCTGGCGAACACCTAAGGCTCCACCCCTTACAATGTAACAGGAGCTCCAAGACAAAGAAATATGGCCCAAATGAAAGAACAGATCAAAATTCCAGAAAAAATATAACTAAGTGATGAAGAGATAGCCTGCCTATGAGATGCAGCGTTCAAAACACTGGTAATCAGGATGCTCAGAGAAATGGTTGAGTATGGTCACAAAATGGAGGAAAAAGTGAAGGCTATGCAAAGTGAAATAAAGAAAAATATACAGGAAACCAACAGGGAAGGGAAGAAAACCGGGACTGATATCAACAACTTGGAACACAGGAAGAAATAAACATTCAACCAGAACAGAATGAAGAAACAATAATTCAAAAAAAATGAGAAGTTTAGGAACCTCTGGGACAGCTTTAAACATTCCAACATCATAGCGTGTTCCTGCTGCTGAACAAAGGCAATAATGGCTTGCTTTCCCCCTAGCAGCTATGTACTCTTGAGCAAGTCCTCTTGGACAAGTCATAACCTTGTTTAGTCTGTTTCTGGATGTGCAGGGAATATGTTACCTCTTTAAATATTTGTGAATTTAGTGAAAAAACATGCAATTCATCCTATTCAAAGAAGGCAATGCAGGGGACAAAAAGGCCATAAGCCAGTCTCAGCTCAACTCAACCTTGATCAGGACCCATCCCTCTCCCAAGACAAGTCAAGAAAAAGAAGAAAGCAGACATCAGAAGTAAACAGGAGTGACCCATAATTGGTAAACAAGTCTCAGACAAACTGAAAATGGCCTGGTTCCAGCATTCTGTCCCCAAATGCTGTAAGCCAGACACAGAAGGCATGCAAAAGTGACTGTCACACATACATAGGTGCAGACAGAGCATCACTAGGCAAAAAAGGGGTGCCAGAAGGAGGAGAGGAAGAGCAAGAAATTGAAAACTTATTTGAAAAATAATGAAAGAAAACTTCCCCAAGTTGGAGAAGGAAATAGACATGCAAGTCCAGGAAGCTCAGTGAGTCCCAAAGAAGTTGGATCCAAGGAGGCACATACCAGGACACATCATAATTAAATTACCCAAGATTAAAGATAAGGAGAGAATCTTAAAAGCACCAAGAGGAAAAGAGACAGTTACCTACAAAGGAGTTCCCATAAGACTATCAGCTGATTTCTCAAAAGAAACCTTATAGGCAAGAAGGGGCTGGAAAGAAGTATTCAAAGTCATGTAAAGCAAGGGCCTACATCCAAAATTGCTGTATGCAGCAAAGCTATCATTTAGAATGGAAAGGCAGATAAAATGCTTCCCAGACAAGGTCAAGTTAAAGGAGTTCATCATCACTAAGCCCTTATTATATGAAATGTTAAAGGGATTTATGTAAGAAAGACAAGAGCAAAACTATGAACAGTAAAATTAAAACAAACACAGGTATCAACAACTGAACCTAAAGAAAACAAAAATAGACTAAACAAACAACTAGAACAGGAACAGAATCACAGAAATGAAGATCACATAGAGGGATATCAGTGGGAAGGGGGAAGGAGGAGAATGGGGGAAAAGGTACAGGGAATAAGAAGCATAATTGGTGGGTACAAAATAGACAGGGGGAGGTTAAGAATAGTATAGGACATGGAGAAACCAAAGAACTTATGTGTACGACCCATGGACGTGAACTAATGGGGGTGGGATGCTGGTGGGAGGGGAGATGCCAGGCAGAGGGGAATAAAGGAAAGAAAACATGGGACAACTGTAATAGCGTAATCAATAAAATATAGTTAAAAATAAAATAAAATTACCTTCTTTTTCTTTCATTTGCAGTTTTAAAATTCATCCTCTTTAATATTAATGCAGCTGCAACTCCCACCATCGTTGCCTTGTCATCACCAATCCCTCTAAGTACTCAGTAGGTCCATAGAGGAGCTTCCAATACCCACAAACCCCTCTCTGGTGAACCTGGGAGAGGGGCTGCAGTTAGCTTTGAGATTGACCCCAGTAAGCTGGCACGAATATGTCCTCCCAGCACACACTCAGAACTCAGCAGAGCAGGCGTGTGGGTTTCCAATGAAGAAGAAATCAAAACCTTTGGCTTTTTACTGTTGTAATTCAGGAGGAGAACATGCGAGAATGGAGATGATGGGGAGATTGAGAAATAAAAGTGGGATGGAGAGAAAGTGAGGGCAAAACAGGAGGGGGAGACAGACATAGGAGAAACAAAGAAACAGGGAGGAAAAAATGGAGATGGAGAGAGGATAGATAAAAGAAAGCTTCAGAGGGGGAGAAAAAGGATGGAGAAAAAGAAAGAGGTTGGGAGGGAGAAAGGGTAAGGCACTTGGGGAAGTCCCAGAGCAGTTTAAATAATACATCTGGGAATTTGGGGAAGTGTCCAGGAGAGGACATGGAGCTGCAGAAAAACCTGGATACTGTAAACAAGTGGGCAGAGGCAAAAGAGAAGGCCCACCTTCCCTGCCTCTGTCCTCTGTCCTCTGTCCTCTGTCCAGGGCTGGAAGCTGCTAGGTCATTGTTCTTGGCCCTCTTGACTCCTCCGAAGCTGTGTGCCAGGCCTGCCCTGGCCCTACCAGGGACACCTACCTATCTCTTCCCCCCAGTGGAGCTGAGCTAGAGAAAGTGTATCAGGGAAAGAGGAATTCCAGGTGCTACAGAGTGCCAACCAAGCTCACCAGAAATGACCCAAGGGAGGAAAGCAGGAAAAGGATGAGCATCTGCAAGGATGAAGGAGATGAGACAGTCAGATAGACAATTCGACAGATTGCCAGGCAAGCAGACCACGTATGAGGAGGACTCCAAAGTTCTATATCCTCCATTCCTTGTGCCTCCATCCGGAAGACTGAGAAAGTCAGCCCTGCCCTTGGCCACCTCTTCTTTGCCTCCTCTCAGATCTGAAGATGTCAGCTTGCAAATACCCAGTGTCTCCACCTAAACCCCCACAGGTATTTTCCCCCTTTATAAAAATCATTAGGACTTCAGAGTTGGGCCCCGCATAACTCCAGGGTAAAAGGGAAGCTGTTGGTGAGCAGGAAGCAGGGCAGCCTGCATACACTCCTCCAGCTGGAGGGTTAGGCTGGACAGAAAATCTTGGGTCTTGGGTCTTCTCCCGGAGGTATCAGCAGCCCTGGCACCTCCCCGGCACACTGATGAGCTCCAAAACCTACTCCAGCTGCCAGCCATTGTACCTTTAAATTGCTGCTTTTGGAGGGGACATCTGGGGGGAGTGGGAGGGGGAAGGAAGGGAGGAGGGAGGGAGGAGGGAAACTTCCTCCCGGTCTCCCTCCTCCCTTCCTTCCCCCTCCCCTTCAAGGCTCTCTAGGGTTTGTAGACTGGTTGCTGCCAAAGAGAATCTCTCCCGGCTCCCACCATGGGCAGGCTGAGGCCCTCTGGGAGTCTAAATTAACCAGAGCAGGAGCCAACAGGGTTGTCTGTGTCAGGATCATTTCCAGGGGAAGAGTTCTGGTCCCTGACTGGTAATAGCAAGACAGAAGAGAAGAGAGCAGATGAGAGAGAGGTATGGGGGGAGGGAGAGAGAGATCCTATCCTGGCCCCACTGACTTCTTGTGAGCTGACCAAGTTGGAGGAAGGATCTGTACTTTCAGCAGACCCCACAGGATATCCCCTCTCATCTCAGCCAGGCTGAGAAAGAGATCCAGGGTTCACAGAATGACAGCTCAAGTTCCTGCAATCCTCTCCTTTCTTCTCCTCTGGACCCTGCCAGGGTGGGTCCTCCTCAGGTAAGCTGAGTAGGGGTGAGAAGGAGTTGCATGCAAACTCTCACAGGGAGCAGCAGGGGCATCTGTCACAGTTTCCTCTAAGTTTGCAAAAAAAAAGCCCACATTCTGGAGGGCTCCAGGGTATGACACACCTTCCTCCAATCAGGACCCAGGAGCTTTTCATGAAGTAGTTCAAGGCCCCGGAGCTAGTGGGAAGACTTCTGCATGGGTGGGAGCTTTCTGGGCCTGGGAAGGCACTAGTTAGCTAAGCCCCAGAACAGAGGCCATCAGTCCTGCCATCCAATTCTATCCCCCTACCAGTTTGGTCACACTCTGCTCAGATGCCTAAAAGTGACACCAACATCTGCCAGCTGCCCAACCAAGAGGCTCTGAGTAGCAAGGGTTTGCCCCAAACCACATCAGAATGCATGTGGACTAACTAAACCTTGGCCCTCTGCAGTTATCCTGCCTGTGTGCACATGGGTGCTGACTGTCCCTGGGTGGGCACTAAGTGGCAGTCATTTCCTGACCTTGGGAGCAAGACAGGCTTTGGGCTCCCTTTCTCATTAAACCAGGAACCAGTCTAGGTGGACAGGGTTTGCTGAACAGGAAAGATGGCTGTGGCTTGGGCTGAACTGGTTACAAGAACAGTACCTCCCAAACTGGATGGGGGTGAGGGTCACCGCAGTACCATGCCCCTCCTCTTAGTTCAGGGAGCACACGGGCACTGCTTGCCACTGAGGAGCCTCCTGCCTTACTGCTTGCAGGCACATTAGCTGGCTGGCAGACAGAGATGCAATATGTAGGGGAGGGGTAGTAAACCTCTGAAGAGTGAAAAACAGCCCAAAGTGGAATGGCGGCTCAGCTGGAGTTAACAGGAGGATGCAGGCAAAAGTGGGCACCCAGATGGGCCTTGTTGGACCTCCTGGAGAGGAGGCTACCTCAAGGCCCAAGCTTCAACAGCAGCATTCTCTCTTGGGCAGTTAAAGCAAGGCAGCCCCTTAGGAAGTTCTGAGTCTAAGTCCTTTATCATGCAAATGGAAACTAAGGCCTAGAGGGGAGATGTGACCTGTCCAAAGTCACTCAGGTACCCAGGAGTAAATCAGAGTTCTCTTCCTACCCCACTGCATTGCAACCTTACCCATCTGCCAGGACTTAGGACTTTCTAGAATGAAAATCACACAGCGACGCTGCTCTCAGGTCTACAGACAAAGTAGCCTCAGAATAAAGGAGCTGAAATAGGGGTTGGGACCCAAAACAGCTATGCTCACAGCCTGTGCCAGGGTCCTGGGGATGGGGGTAGCAGGAGAAGTGACCTGAGAGTGGGGTTGAGAAGGGTGGCAAGGGTCTGGCTGCTCCATGTGTGGGGCCATGTGGCCTGCCAAAAGGCAGGTGGCTGCTGGCCAAAAGTAGCACCTGGTTGGTGTGGGCACCCTGTGGAAAAGCCATGGACTTCTTGCTCCAGCACCACCACGAGCCTCCTCAGAGTTTCAGCCTCCTTAGGCCACCTGCTCTGGAAGCCTCTGATTGGGGCCAAGGTGGCCTCTGTGCCAGGGTAAGGGCTTCCTCTCAGGGCATTCAAGGAGACAGGACTTTAGGAGGTCAGGATATAGCTGCCACAGATCTTTCTTTACTCTGGTTCTTTGGCAGCCCACCCTGGCCTGCTTGCATCGTGGTATTATGGTATTATAGATGGACTTAATTTTAAAGTCAATAGCTCTGGGTTTGAGTCTTGATCTTACCATTTACTAGCTCTCTGTGAACAAGTTGTTTCACCTGGCTGATCTTCAGTGTCTTCATCTATACAGCAGGATAATAATAGCACTTATTGAGAGGATTGATGTGGGAACTAAGCCAGGTAAGGTGAGGAAAGCATTTAGCACGGTGCCTTAGCTATTTTTCATATTGTATCCATTACCAGTAGATTACTAGTAGGTGCATAGATTTACTGGGAGAGAGGAGAACACTGGCTCAAAAGAGACTCAGATCCAGAAAGACAGCAGCCACCCTGCCTCCAGCCTCACAGTGCAGCAGTCGGGGAGCTAGCTCTAGACCGGGAGCAATGGTGACAGCAGGAAGAGCAGGAGTCACAGGGCCCCACCAGGAGCCCAGCCTAAGCTCAGGCCTTGAGCCCCACCTCTGCCCTCAAGGCTTTGTCAAGCCCCTGGTCCCTCCTCGAGCTTTCGCTGGTAAGCAGACAAGCAGTCCTGTGGAAAGAGTTTTGCTGCTCTTAGAAGGAAACTTGTCAAGGAAGAAAGGATGGCCTCTAGCATAGGTCAAAGCACACCGGCTCCTTACTCAGAGTCAACTTATTTAGAGTAAAAGATGGGAGTTGACCTTCTCAGCATGGCCACCCTACAGGGAGGCTTTTGCATGCTCCGAGAACCCTGCTTCCTCGCCTATTTTGTTGCCAAAGCATGTTCACCTGCCTGCAGTTGCCACAACCCTGAAGTATGGTCCAACTCAGAACAACTTCCTGCTAGATCAAACACCAGAATCCAAGCCTCCCTCTCCAGAAGCTAGGTCCTAGTGCCTGAGTAGCTCAGCACAAAGGCCAAACAACTGAAACCAACTCTCAGGGATGCAATTATTCTTGAGCCCCTCCAATCCTTGGCTAGACCTCATAGGCAAAATGTTGGCATAGCCTACATTATTTCCACTGAGTGGTCACTCTTCTCTGAGTACACTGAAGGCAGCTCCAGAATTAGAACACTGCAGGAGGCCTCGGCCTTGGGTGTGTGTCCTGATCCTGTCACTTATTAGCTCTGAGACTTTGGGCGAGTCATTCCTTTCAGTTTGTTTGTTTCTTTTAGATGCCACATATAAGTGAGATTATACAGTATTTGCTTTCTCTCACTGGCTTATTTCACTTAGCATAATCCCCTCTAGGTCCATCAGTGTTGTCTCAAATGGCAAGATTGCATTCTTTTTTATTGCTGAGTGATATTTCAATGTATGTATCTACCACATCTCCTTTATCCATTCATCTTCGATATACACCTAGGTTGCTTCCATATCTTGGCTATTGTAAATAATGCTGCAATGAATATAGGAGTGAATAAATCTTTTCAAATTAGTGTTTGTTTTCTTTTGATAAATACCCTGAAGTGCAATTGGTGGATCATGCGGTAGTTGTACTTTTAATTTTTTGAGGAAACTTCATAGTTTTCCATAGCGGCTGCACCAATTTCCAGTCACACAAGTTCCTCCTCCTTTGTAAACCTCAGTTTTCTCATCTGTAAAATGGAAATAATAGTCCTCATCCCCATAATACTGAGAATGGTGAAGGTAAAAAAGAAAACTAATATAAATGAAAGCCATTTTCTAGGACTAACTGGTAATCTGCCATGTTGGTTTATTGCTATTTCTGTTCTCATTTTGCAAATGGGCACCCAGAGACTCATCTTGTCCCATCCTCCTGCCTAATGGGGAGACCAGCCAGAGGTGGTTAGGGACAGGGAAAGAGAAGGTCTGTGATAAAGGCAGAATACAACTGGCCTTAGACTTTTTAAATCTCTCCTGCCCAGGGCTGCCTTGGCAAAAAAGGAAATCAAATCTGGGACCAAGGGTTCCCAGTCCATGTCCCCCTCTGATTTTCTTGAAAAGCTTATGGGTCAGACATCTGGATATAATGCCAGGATTTGCCCCAATTTTAAAGGTAAGAAGCATTCATCCTACAAACCCCTACCCCGACAAATTTTGGGGGACACACTGCTGATTCAGCCCCTACTGCCTACCCCAAAGGCAGGAAGCTGGAGGTACAAGGCTGGGTCTTTCAGCTCAGAAGGAGCCTCTCCTCCCCATTGCCCATGCATCTGTGTAGCTGACGCTGCCCTTTCCTAGCAGTGCTCTGGCCTCAAGCTCGAGGAGGGAGTCCTAGAACCTGTTCCCAGCCACCTGGAATTCCCTGACAATATGGCTGTGCTTTCCTACCTCCCCTTAGGCCCACCTGTGAATGTGGCCTGCAACATCATCAACAGTTTTGGCCCCATCACTGAGACTACCGTGGTAAGGTCTCTCTGTTTCCCACTTCTACTCTAGTGTGAATGGCTGAAGCCCCCCAAATAGCAAGCCTTTTCTCCCTCTGCGGTGTCTCATGTTCATGGCTAAGCCCATGTTATGTGTGAAGTTGGTCACTGGGAGGAACACTTTTCCCAGCCCATGGTTTCAGTGTGCTAAAGGCAGACTAGTCTAAGCAGCAATGTCCAGCCTGGGAGGTAGCCTGGGAGGCTTTGAAATCAGAAAACCTGTGTTCAAACCTTGACTCTACCACTGAACAGCTGCATGACTCTAGGCAGGTCTCTTTTTGTCTCAGTTTCCTCATCTGGAAAATGAGGGTCATAACAGCACCCTCCTCGGCGTGTAAGATTTAACTGAGATGGAGCACATAAAGAAAGCACCTAACAGAGAGCCTTGTGCACCATAAGTGTTCAATAAATGTCTTTCCCCTTCCCGCCTTTCCCATATCAGCCCAAGGTTGGCTCCTTCTCCTGTGAAAAATGCCCATTGCCCCTGAGATATGCTCCCAGCATTTCTACCATTTCTACCTCATGATCCTCCTGTCAATGTAAGGCTGGCTGGGCCCCTGGAATAGCACTGTCTCTGATGGGCCCATCTCTGCACCCTAGTAGGACTACTGGGTGAATGTCTTCTTGTGACAGCAGTGGAATGAACCATGCCTGGCCTATGGAGAATATCCTGATGACTCACTAGACCTTGACCCTTCCATACTGGACTCTATCTAGAAACCCAACCTGTTCTTTGCCAATGAGAAAGGGGCCAACTTCCATGAGGTAACCATCGACAACAAGTTACTGTGCATCTTCAAGAATAAAGAATGCGCTCTACAGCACCAGGTGTGCCTGCTGGGAGAGTCTGGGCCAGGGGGAAGAAGCCAGATGGAAGCTGAGGTTTGGAAAGATGGTTCCCTGTGTTCTTGGCCCCAGTAAACAAATGTCACTGCTTTCTTACTGTCCCTTCTAGACTGATCCTCATTTTGTCTTGCCTGATGGACCTCAAGAACTTCCCCATGGACATCCAGACCTGCATGATGCAGCTGGAGAGCTGTAAGTGTCCCTAGAGAATCATGGGACAAGGTCTGGTATCCCAGATAGTTAACTCCATCCTGAGATATTCCAGACAGGAAAAGGGCATCCCAGAGTGGGGAGGGACATTGCCAAGCACTCACAGTTCTTGGCACAAATGAGACCAGCAGCCAGCACTTGCTAACACCCAATACACAGTGTTTTCCCATCCCCATACAATTTGCTGGCCTGGCTGCTCCATGGGTCTGGGGAATGGGAAGACCCCTGCCTTACATACAAATTTGTTTGTGCTGGTTGTGGGGGGTCATTTAGGGGGTACTTCCTCTGACCAAAGACGTGTTTCCTCTCACAGTGCCCGAAGTGATTCTACTTCAACTACCCCTGAGTTAAGACATTCAAGATGCCTGTAAAACTGCCAGAGTTGGAAGGGATGGGGTATTCTTTGAACTCTGATTCCTCATGAACACATAACTTGTAGAGGTGGACAAGGACAGTTTTAGATATAGAACAGTGCCCATGGTAGCTAAGTCAGCTAAAGGTTATTTTATGGCAGAGATGCCAGCCTGCAGGTGCTGCACCAAGTGCAGAAAAGCAAAAAGACAAGGTTGAATCATCACCTACGTTCACCCCTTTGCCATCTCCTGGGTGAGGTAACACAGTGATATCAGGAGATATTCACTTGGTCCTCAGAGAAGAAGGCTTATTAAGCTGTTTTCAGCATGTAATACTTTTGATTGCTAGAATGTTCCATATATGGTCAGCTCTTTAGAGTTCATAAACCACTTTCATGACCAGGTTCCCATTACTCTCTCACAACAACTCTAGAAAGTAGATGGAGTGTTTTACAGAAGGGTAAGTGACTTCCCCAATGTCACACAGCTACTCTATGTCAAGGCCCTACTCTGGACATCCATGAGCCTTGGTTTTTCTGCTCTGATTTCTCCCTGACAGGTGTGAATATGGTCAAAGATGTGGTAGGAGCCCTCACAAACTTCTAGCTCTCTGTGAGCAACTTGGCATGTTCAGATGTTAGCTCTCAATTTTCCCCAGTTCAGGGCCCTGGCTAAGAGTCTGTGGTGTACACATTGTCCCATGCATGACTGGCAGGGTATAAATAGCTCTCTCCTCCCTAGGGTGAGATAGCAGAAGCCCTGGTTCTGAGGCTGGCTCAGCTTGAGACATGTGGTCGGTACACATGCTTCACTCCCCTGGGTTTGAGATATGCCAGGAGGTTCCCAGCTGGGTTCCTTGACATCTTTCCAACCTTTTGGACCTGCTTTCTAGGTCTTCCAGAATAATTTCTCTTTGGGCTTTTCTAAAGCTTGAAAACTAAGCAAGAGAGGAGTCTAGAAATCTTTCTGATTTTCCCACATATGATGGGCTCGTGAGACAATTGACCAAGTACCCTCTTCAGAAATGTTTCCCTTTCTAAGATGAACATGGAGCCCTTAAAAACCTGGTCTTACTCATCTGTTCTTTCCTGCCAATTCTAACTCTTACCCTACTTCTATCCCCCACCCACACTCTGCAGCTGTCTGTCATCTCTGTCACTTTCACTTGGCTATACCATGAATGACCTCGTGTTTGAGTGGTTGGAAGATGCTCCTGCTGTACAAGTGGCTGAGGGGCTGTCTCTACTCCAGTTTATCTTGCAAGATGAAAAGGATCTAGGCTATTGTACCAAGTACTATAACACAGGTAAAAACCCAGGATCTTTACTGGCTGTGAGTTATAGGAGGGCTTCCAGATGGGAGGGAAGGGGGCAAGCAGCAAACCTCTGTGGATGGTTCAATCTGTGTGCCAGGTGTGGTGTTAAGTGCTTTATATTCCTCATCTCATTATGGTAGGGGTTATCAATCCCATCTTCAAGAAAGGGGAAACTGAGGTTCTAAGAAGTTAAATCAATTGTCCAAGCTACACAGCTGGTAAATGGCTAATTAGAATTCAAACTCAGATCGGTCTAATCCCAAAGCCCATGTCCTTGTCGCTGTCACATGCTGCAGAGTAAATGGGCCTGTGCCACTGAGTAGAAGGAATGTTCTACTTGGTCTTGGGGACAACTCTCTGGGAAGGTAGGGAATCTACATCTCGAAGTAGTCAATGGCTGCACTGAACCAGGAGGGAATAGGCCTCAGGGCACTGGTGGCTTCTTGTACACACCTCCTACTGCTGCTACCACTGCCCAAATCTCTTGAACTGGCTTCTCCTTCCCAGGTATGAAATATGGGCCAGGAAGTAGAGAGGGGCTGCCAGAGCATCTGCACCTTGATGTTGCCTCATTTCCCCAGGCACTTTGGCTGCCAAGACTTATGACCCTGAAATAGAGGACACAGGATGAAGAAGGGAGATCCTAGGTACCCCCTATAGTGTGCTAACTTGCTTTGGGTGCCACTCTATGAGTATGTGTGTTTGTGTACATGGGGGTGCAGGGAATGAGAAGAAGAATGGGCCATTGAATGTAAAAAACACTGGTAGGAGTAGAAATTGGTATAACCTTTATTGGGGAAAAAAACCCTGGCAATTTGTATATAGTCCCCTGGGAGTCTATTAAAATGTTGATTTGTAGGCTTTACCCCTCAGAGATTCTGATCTGCATTTGAACAACCATCCTGAGGATTCTGATAAAGTTGGTGCAGAGGGACACGTTTTGAGAAAGTGTTTTTAATTAAATTTATTGAGGTGACATCGGTTCACAAAACCATACAGGTTTCAAGTATACGACTCAATAAAATATTATATCCCTGTTGATCCAGATATCCCCACTCCTTGGAATTTATTAAAAGAAAATTATTCTAAAGTATCATATTGACTTTAGACCCCAAGAAGGCTCCTAGGTCACTGTTTATACCAGCAAAAACTTCAGATTGTTATAGATATCCACTAATAGGGCAGCGGTTAAGTAAATGACATAGTACACTTGCTTGTTGGTATATTATCCAGATGTTCAAAAGGATGCTTGCAATTTGCTTACAGCAACATAGGAAAATACAAGTGAAAAAGGCTTAGAGTCAAAGTTATATACACAGAATAATTATGTTCTGGGAAAAGAAGCAAATTAAAAGCATGCGGTTAAAAATCCTGGAAGGAAATAGCACACAATGTTTTTAAAATCTTGTGATACACTTGGACAAGAGCAAGAACTCTGGAGTCAGAGATGAATGAGTTCTGGCTCCACCATTTACTAGTCAGGTGCCCTTGAGAAACATAACTTGATCTCTTCAAGCCCCAGCATCTCTATCTATAAAATAGAATATAATTTTCCCTGACCTGAAGAGTTCCTATGGGATTTAAATAAGACACACTTTATAAACTCAGTGCACTTAGTACGGGTTTGGTAAATGTCAGCTTATGAATATTACTACTTTTTCTCTACCTCTCACTTTTTGGTACTAAACAAGTGTGAATTTTGTCATTACAAACAAAACTGCTATTACCAAAAAAAAACTGGAAGGAAGGAAAGAAAGAAAATTATAGATACCTAGCAAAGGCATGTCATGGCAAGAAGCCCAGAGTGAGGTGAGGTAGGGTGGATTAAGGAGACAGTAGGATATCATGGCATTACACAGTATGTCAAATGCATAGTCAGTCATTCATGAAATCACTAGCCTTGAAGAATCAGGCCCAATAACAGCAAGCCTGGGCCAGAATGAAATAACAGTATACGCATCCTCTGCATTTTGCTTTGGTTATCCTGAGCCTCTACTTCTAGGAAAACTTCTGACCTAGTGTTTTCTTAGCCTCAGGGTGTAGGAAGCAAGGAAAAGTGAAAATAGGTGGCAGAGGAGGCAGAGCACTGGTAAGTGCGCCTGGAGCCAATGCACTTTTTGTTGGTGTACCAAAATGCTACTTCCTCATGCTCTCTGGGAAGCAACCCTCTGCATGCTGTCCACAGCTGGTCTCTGTTGGACATTGTTTCCAGATATTTGCTATCCAGCTGCTTTCACTTGCTTAAGATACAGGCAGTGTTTATTTCAGTGAATCATTGTTGCTAGAGAGCTTCTGGGGTACCGGCAAGCCCAAGCAAGGCTGCTGAGATTTGAGCAGAGTCTAAGCTCATTACTTTCTTAATAATGATTGTAGTACCAGCTACCTATGTGATCAACACCTCTAATACATTATCTCATTTAATTCTCACAATACCCCAGTGATGGAGTTGATAGTATTATTATTCTATTTTACAGACAAGCAAACCAAAACTCAAAAAGCTTAGGTGTTTTCCCTGAGTGCACATAGCTAGTAAATGGAAGGTTCAGGATTAAAGCCTAGGCAATCTGGCTCTGGAGTCCTCCCTCCACACTCCCTGGGGCCATTATGAAGGCTCATTTATTGGTCCAGCTGAGGTGCCAGAGGCTAGCCCTCAGAGATAAGACTGCCCTAGTTCTGCCTCTCAGGCTCAGCTGCAGCCTGGGGACCTGGGGTCTTATACCTCATCTCTTTCCTTGCAGGGAAATTCACCTGCATCGAGGTAAAGTTTCATCTGGAATGGCAGATGGGCTACTACCTGATTCAGATGTACATCACCAGCCTACTCATTGTCATCCTGTCCTGGGTCTCCTTCTGGATCAACATGGATGCTGCCCCTGTCTGTGTAGGCCTAAACATCACCACCGTACTCACCATGACCATTAAAAGCTCTGGCTCCCAGATCTCTTTGCCTAAGGTGAAGAGACATGCAAGGGAACTTGCTTGCCATAGAGCTCCCCATTTCCCATTCATCCCCTGGTCCCTCTGGCTCTATTTTTCTTGGATTTAAAATAGAGAAGAGCCATTGAGCAAGGGCAAGTGACCTGCATTCTCTGCCCCCTACAACATACTGCTAACAGTGTAGAAGCTGGGGTTGCAGATGCTGTCTGCCTAGGGAACAGGCAGAGACAGTGCCCAACTTACTTTGACTTTCACCAGGAAATACTAGCATGTTCAAGATCAAAAGACCCATAGCAGCCCTGGCTGGTCTAGCTCAGTGGATTGAGTGCCAACCTGAAAACCAAAGGGTTGCTGGTTTGATTCCCAGTCAGGGCACATGCCTGAGTTGCAGGCCAGGTCCCCAGTAGGGGGCTCTCTCTAGAGGCAACCACACATTGATGTTTCTTTCCATCTCTTTATCCCTCCCTCCCCCCTCTCTAAAAATAAAAACATAAATAAATTTTTTTTAAAAAAACAAAGACCGATAGAAGATGGAAAGTTTCCCTCCCTCATGGTACACATGAGGACAATACAGCCCAAGAAAGAATGACTTTCTCAAGGTCATGGCCCACAAGATACAAAGAAATACAAGCATTTTAAACCAACACCTTTCTCTTACTACATCAGGAAATCAGATACTATTGTAAAGAGCTCAAGATGAAATGTCCGCTCTTTTGGGGTGAGAAAATGTTGAGGTAGCAAATAGCGATTAAAGTCAGTGGACTCTGATCATCTGGGGCCTGGTGATTTTTTTATTATACTGAGAGATCTGTACTGATGGGACTGGGCCAGGTTCTCCCTGCCTCGTGTCTTCATGTAGGGAATTTAGAGGTCACCTCAAAGTCCTTATAGACAGCAAAGCCCTGAGAAAATCATGGAATAAACCCACTCATTCTATAAATATTTATTGAGCATATACTATGTACCAGGCACTGTATTATGCCACAGAGAAGTCATGGGAAGTAAAAGCAACACAGTTCCTTTTAGATCTTATAGTGAACATATTCCCACTTGCTCCGATTTGATGGGAACTAGGCCCTGCGATCTCTTATCTCTTGGTGTTTATTCCTAAAAAGACATTTACTGGGGACTTAAACAGGGGTAATCTGAACATCGAAAGTGAATTTACCAGTTTGCTATATGAGAGTGAGCAGTAGTTAAGAGAAGTTAAGAGAAACCCAAATCTCAGGCAGATTTGGGTTTAAGTCCCAGCCTTATCATTTACTAATGGTGACCGTAGGTAAATTTCTAAACCTATCAATCTCCTCTCCTGTAACATGGAAATAAGAATATTACCTCTTCCACAGGGTTATTACAAGAAATAAATAAGACAATGTTTAACACAGAAGACTGTTTGGCAAACAATAACCACCCAGTAAATGCTGGCTATTATAATTATTAGGTGTCAGGGTAGAAATAACTGAGTAAGTGGACCAATGGCTAAAGGAGCCATAATTATTATATAATTGGGATGATGATCACAATTATTTTTGAGATGCCAGGAAACCTTTGAGGTGGTCCAATACCTTTACAGATAATTGGTGAGAAAGTTCAGATTAGGATCAAGTATCCCAGGGGAAATTGTCAGAGACCTTTTTCTATAACTGTGTTTTCTAAATGGACAGGGGTGTTGAGTAGGGACTATGATGGCCATGTTGTGGTATTGGCCTTATATGAAGACCAGAGGCAGGAAAGTAGTTCAGACCTAAGAACCCTGCCCTAGTTTATTGCCACCATCATGCAAGGAGATGCTTCTCTAACTCAGGGAAGTGCTGTAATTTATGTCTTATTCTTACCAAGAGCACTTCCTTCTTCAGTTCCCTCTTGGAGCAAGCACAATCAGCCTGCTCCAAGAAATCACTTTGTTTCCTCACTTGGGAGAAAAATGAACTTTTTTTGGAGGGTTTGCTTTATTTTGTTTTTACAATATTTTGGTGCCCTCTCATTAAGATTTTGATGACATTTTTGTGGCCTCATTTTCAGTAAGGAAAATATGAAGGCTTGTATCCCAAACAAAATAGTTTCATTGACCACTCCCACAGAACAAGGGGCTGAGTAAATCCAGGAGCTTCTGCTCACTCTTGAGTATGTGTAACATTAGATTTGGTGGAAGCCCCAAGGAAAGAGATGGGGCCAGGTCAGACGCTTCTGCAAACCACACTAATCCCACTCCCAATACAAATCTAGTGTGAAGGATGAGAGAAGCAGAGGCTCACTTTGTAAAGTAACTCAGCTGGGATAGCTATTCACCGTGTTCCCAGGAAACCACTTCTTTTTTTGCCATTATGGGGTTGCCCAAAGGCACTGATCTTTGTCTGTCTGCCATTCTTGATCTATACAACTGCAGATGGCTCCATGCAAAATGGAAGAACTAAATGGAACTTTCTACAAGAGACTGACAGATAAAAGTTTCATTAGTTGGAGGAGTGACTCAATTCTCTTGAGATCCTGCAATCTTAATGGTCCATAGTTCTCAGGAGTAGTGATGAGGGCAAAAAGAGGAAACAGAAGCCAGTAGAGACAGATACATTGCTAAGCCATCCATCCATCCACACACGCACTCATTCATCCAACCATCCATTTAAAAAATATTTACTATGTGCCAGGCACTCAGCTAGGCACTGGGGATTGAACAGTGGACACAATAGAAACCGTCCCTACCATCCAAGAGCTCATAGTCTAGTGAAGGAAATGGCCAGCTCTATTGGATGGATACTAAGAAATTGTAGGTAACCTGGGCACATATAGCAGAGGCAACAAACCCAGGCTGGAATGATTATGGAAGGCTTCCTAGAGGAAGTGATATCCAAAGTGAACAGTAAAAGTTATATAGGTAAAGGAGAGAGACACAGAAAGACTGTCTCCTTGGGAGAATACTGAAATAGTAGTTCATCATGGCAGGGTCATAGGTTGCAAGGGGTGAGAAGAGGCTGAAGGACTAGGCATGCTAAGGGAAGTATAGACTGTACTGTAAGAGTACTGGAGAGCCAATGAAGGCTTAGTGGCAGGGAAGTGATATGATCACATTTAGATTTTGAAAACAAAACTCTGACTACTGTTTTGAGGACAGGTTGTAGGTGGCAAGTGTAGATGCAGGGAGACCATTTAGGAAACTGTTGCAGTCCTTCAGATGAGCTAGGATAGTGAATGGATGGATTTCAGAGATATTTAACATGTATTATTAACACACTCAATTCTTAAAAAGACTTTCTTCCTGCTGCCTAAGGTGTACTTTTCTTTTGAGGATCCAAAGCCCTTTATGGACCTCCCTTGTCAGTACCCCATTGTTAATCTTTGTAGCAGTTACTAGACATCCATAGTGGCACAGTGGGACTGGGAGACGGTGAATGAAATAGGATGCCCTCTTAGTAGTAGGTGGCAAAATGGCAACACCAAAGGAGGCTGTATCTGGATTGCCTAGCAATCCACCACGACCACCACCCACCTCAGTGGAATTCCCCTAAAAGAGAGAGCAGGGTTTCGTCAACTTTAGCACTGTTGCCATTTTGAGCCCAATAATTCCCGTTGTGTGTGTGAGAAGTGTGGGTGGTGGGGGTGGGTCCTGTGCATTGTAGGATGTTTAGCAGTGTCCCTGGCCTCTTACCCACTAGATGCTGGTAGCCACCACCACCCACAAAACTGTACAACCAAAATTGCCTCCAAGTTGCCAAATGCCCTTGGAGGGAGGGATTCTCCCAGGGTAAGAACTACGGAAGGTTCTTATCCAGTGAGACCTGCTCCTTACCTGGAGTCTGCAGTACCTTCACTGTTCAACATGGCAAAAGCTTGTGAAAGAAGTTGTCTGCCATCAATTCTGCTCCTGCTGGGGAGCCCCCTAGGGGGAGCTCAGCAGCTTGAAACTATGTAGGGAGTCAGTCTAATTAAGGAGGTAAAAGGACTTCATAAACCTAAGTTCTAAACCCTCTCTCGGCTCCACCCAGCCACAACCATGTTCCAGGAGAAGTGAGTGTCCACTATTCACAAGGAAAATGAGAGAGAACAGTACTTAAGGGCTGCCAAGGCAGGTAGTGAGAGGACAGCACTAGAGACTAGATGGGCAATGCCAAGGGTACCTAGAAATTAGAGAAGTTTCCATAGCCAGGGGTAGGTAGCATTTCCTTGGGATCCCTTCTCTGTTCTGCTCTCCAGTGTGGGAGCTGAGGCCCCAGCTCACCACTGAGCTCAGTTCTTCAGCAGGGCCTCTCACAAAGAGCAGCAGGAGAAACTATGGGGTCAAGGGAAGAAGAGGGGTAGAAGAGGGAAAGGAAGAAACTCCTAGTCTGATGTGGAGACTGCAGCTCAGAACCCCCAACACCAAGATTATGTCTTCTCGCTGGGTAATCTTGCCTAAGACTCTCTCTAGGCTTCAAGTGTCCTCACACGTCTCATATGGGAATAATAAATCCTGCCCAATTACCACTGTGGTTGTGAGAACCCTAGGAGATAACAAGGCAAACAAATGCAGAGTTCATGTTCGTTGCTATTTATTGAGAGAAAAGAATCATAAGAATGTAAGAATGAAAAGAATAAGAAGCAGCAGAATCAGAAGCAAAAGCACAAAAAGAAAAAAGAAGGAAAGAAAAAGAAGCGTAGGGAGGAAAGGCAGATGGAAGTGGAGGGTGGACAGCACAGAGAGATGAAGGATGACCTTTTTGACATGGGACTTCAGGCAATTGGAAATATCGTGGAAAGCTTCTTTAAAAAACCAGAAGAAATTCAGGATAAAAATGAAGAACAGCAGACAGTTAATATGGGCTGGCAACTCACCGGATAGGCCATGGGAGGACTCCAGGAAGGTTGACTGCTCTGTTGATGGATGTTGCAGGTGTCTTACGTGAAGGCAATTGACATCTGGATGGCTGTGTGCCTGCTTGTAGTGTTTGCTGCCCTGCCGGATTATACTGCTGTGAATTTTGTCTCCCATCATCATAAGGAATTCGTAAGACTTCAAAGAAAGTAGAGGCGCCAGTGCGTGGTGTGTATAACTAAGGAGGGGCCCACTTCCTTTCTCCCCAGGACTTCTTTCTCCCTACCACTCTTTCCACAAACCAAGAGCGAACCTAGAGCTGCAAGGACTAGACAGGCAATCAGAAACCCTGGATTGTAGTCCCAGGATGGTCACAGATAAGATAAGTACTATAACCCCTTTGATTCCATTTTTTTATCTGTCTATTGGAACATTAATCCCTACATGGAAGTTTACTAGAGTGATTAAGAGTGTGGGCGCAGACCCTGACACATTAAGCACTGAAAAAAAAATTAGCCAGTATTAGAACCTTATCATGTTAATCAATGTGAGGTTGCTTTAAGAATTACTAGTGGTTGCTCCTGGCTCTCCCCTCACCCAGGAGAAAGGTACCCTAGGTTGTCATATACTGATTAAGAGTTCAAGAGTCAGCATTGGTGCCTTTCTAGGGGAACATTATAAAAGGGGTTCCCACAGCTAAGCTAGAATTGAAAAATCTTCCCCTGCCTCTTCTAGCTGTTAGGTGTCTTTGCCTTGATATTCATTTGGCACATCAGAGTTGTTGGGTGTGACCTGTTCTCCCTCACTCTTATTTGTTAACCCCATTTCTTCTACAATAGATTGATCACCTGGGGCAATTGAGCAGGGATCTTGTCGTCATGACAACGGAGGCAGTTTACCCCCATTGTCCAAATAATAGTGCTAGGTATGTTGTTATGGCAACAGAGGTGCATGGACCACTCTCACAGAAACAAGTGCCCAATTATGAGCAAAGATTTTGCTGAGCTAAACACTGGTCGCTTAATCATCAGACACAGAGATCTGGTGTCTTGAGGTCTGACTCCTTGCTTTATGCTAAATACGGAGGTTTTAAAGTCAAAGTGGCAAGCGCATATGATCTCTGGGGCAGGTGAAAAGGGAGAGGGGGAGAAAAACGATGATCTGAGCCCTCTATTGGGGCCATTCTAACACTAACGCTTTTTTCTCCTAACACCCCACCTCCCACCTCAGCTGCTCCTGAGTTACCCCTACCATAAGTCTGCGCTAAAAATATCTCACAAACTACTGTCCCTTGCTGAGGTCCCTTTCTGCTGAGGACAAGGCTCCTGTTTCATTAGAGATTTTTAGGACAATTCCTGCCTAGCTTAAATCCTTTAGTTGGGCCCTGGGAAGTTCTCCCTCTAGTGGAATGATCCATAACTGCATCTCCTTAAATAGGACCCATTCTTCAATAGACCTACTCATATAGGCCCTTGTTATCCCACGCTGAGGTGAAGAAAAAATACAGAGACTTGGCACAAGGGCAAGAGGATGCATTCTTTTCTAAGCTAACTGTCCATACCACTTCTTGATCTATGCTAAACCTGCCTGCAGGTACAAAATCTTACCTTTACAGGCATTTTGATCTTGATGCCTTCTCAATGCCTACCTTGGAAAAAAAGAGCAGGTTGCTCAACAGTTCCAGAGTACTTTTGCCAGCTAAATTGCCTGTGTGGGTGCCCCAGCAACAGAAGGCTGCAGCAGTTAATGTAGAGCTACTCCAGGTCGACACTAGTCCCAGCACCTCCACTGTACCTCCCTCTCCCCCAACTGCCCACAGCCTACTCCTCCCTCCTTGTATATAGTTTGAGCCCGATCTCATAATGGAGGCTGTCATAATCAATGCTCAATAATGAAAAAGTTATAACAGCAGCCTGGGTCCTGCTTAGGCTCCTGGATCCTGCCTGAAAGTGAGCTAGGCTTATTATTAGTGTAAATAAAACCTGAAAATCCAAACCAGTGTCATTAGCCCCTGTCCCACTTGGAGTTTCCTAAAGCCATTGCTATCCCAGTGGAATGGTAGCAGGGATCCTGGAAGTCACTGAGCATACTGGAAAATCTGATGCAGAGTTCATCCATTTCTAGAACCCCTCTCTGGGCCCTGCTGGAGAAGCAGCAGTCTTTAGTTTGAGAGGAGCCCTTTTAAGGGAGGGAAGATAATCCGTATGCTTTTCAGGGAACCCTTAGCCAAGAGCAAGATAGGAATGTTTTAGGAGCCCACCACTTGTTCGCCCAGCTCCAGGCTTAATACTGTTCTTCTCTAATCTCTCCTCAACCGTGTATCTTCACTGCCTGGTGGTCTTCTTTCATGTCACTTTCTGAAGTAGTTTACCTTTTTCTCCATACATTTCTGATTTGTCTTCACAGCTAGTCCAGGCATCACAGCGAAGGGTCTGTCTCTCGTTTTTATAACCTCATTGGGCCCTAGCATCAGGCTATGGACACAGCACCATGAAACCCAATTCTCCAACATTTGCAGGCTGACTGGTAAGGGGTCTCTTTCAAGTTGGATGGAGAGAGAACCTTGACATTATCAATAGGATACCTTGAGAAATGGAAAGAATTTCAAAATACTGCCTCTCGGAGGCTTGGCTCCAGAATGCTGCTTGCCCCTTTCCCTTCCACAGCATCCTCCCCCATTCTCCAACCTCTTACTTTCATTTCAATACCTATCATTCCTTCCCATCTCCACATCTCACCTCCCACACTGTGCATTCCTTCCCCAGCTTGTTTTTGGAATATCTTCCCTCTCTAGTTTCTCGGCCCTCCTCCCCTATATATAGGTACAACAGAAATGTTCTATCTCAACAGCCATGGCACCCATAATGTGGTGTTTAAATCTCCATTGTCCTTCCCAGCACACACACCCCTCAGAATTGGGCCTAAGTATCTAACACCCAAACCCAGGACCTTCCCTCTCAGATTTCAGGCCACTCATCTTTGATCCCCCAACTACAAATGGCGCAATCCATTAAAATAATTTTAGGCCACGAACAGCTTACTCTATTAGCCACATTTTTTTCTCCTCTGTAAAATAGCATTTTTCAGCCTGGGAAATATTTCCAAACAATTCTCTTTAGATTTACTGTGACTGGATAAAATGGGAAATAAATGAATCTATAGAAGCAGAAACAGCAGTTGGATTCAACTTCCTCTTTCAGAGCTTTTTGCGAACAAATATATTTTGTGCTCGTATCCTCTAGCTAGGGGGATGAGGGGATCAAGAGGAACAGTAGAGAATGAGAAATATGAGGGACCTGAACTGGAAAGCAAAATAGAAAATCATTTTATTTACCCCCTTATTTTCCAACTACTTGGGAGATATTTTGTTTACCTCTGGTTCTTGATTTCTAAAATGGGTACAGCACAATCTCTCATGTAGGAATAATGTGGAAATGAATTTGAAAATACAGGTGAGATGAAGCAGGGACTTTGGTAACTGAGATTATGTAAATACTTTTGAGCAGAGAGCTAAGGCTGCCTCACTACAACAACTGAGGGTCAAAGAACTACAGTTGTGAATTCCTTCTGGCCTGCACACATTCAACTATCTCCACAAAACCTACAAGACTGGTCAGCAAAGCTCTCTGGTGGGCGGACTTAAGATTCTTCCCTATGTCAAGGGTGCCACTCTTTCTAGAGCCTGAAGGGCATCAGGACACGGCACCAGGGTGGGGCAAGAAGTAATTGTTTTTTCTGCCAAGGAATTTGTAACTGAATAAGACTTTTCAGTTTAAGCCCTTGAGAGAATGCTGGCTTCATGTGAACAAAGCCATTCCCTGTCCTATATTCTAAAGCATGTGACTCATCAGACCATTCATTTATTCAATAGATAGCCACTGGTTGTCTATTAGATGCCAGATACTGTGCTAGGCACTGGGGACAGAGCAGTGAACAAGACAAACGATCTTTCCCAAATTTGTACCATGAGCCCAGTGGAAGCAGGGAAAGAAGCAGGATTTGTTGTTGAACCTCTGGCCTGAGCCTGCCTTCCCCTGATGCCTGGTGATAGTCTAGACCTTCTAGTGATGTAATAATCAAGGGGCACTGGGACCCACCAGACCAATATCTTATCTGCGAAGCCACTTTACCACAGCTGCAAAGGTCCCGCTATAAACATCATATATTTATAACTGCACAGCATGTATAAAAATCTACTTTATTCACATTTTGTGTTTATCTGTCACACCCATTCAATATGCATATATCTTGTTCTGTTTTACCACTGAAAGTCCCTAGTCTCGGGAAGTCTTCTTCATTCCTGGGCAAACCAAGAAGGTAGTTGGTATCATTCCTCAAGGGGGCATTTCACTTCAGGTGATTTCTTAAATAGCTGAAGCTTTTACTCTTATAAACATCAATATTCTTAAAAAGTGGAACCATCTTTGAATAAAGTATTTCTAGGTTCTGGCATATATTGTCTTCTGCTAATTTTCAAGCTGTGAGGCAGTGTGTCCTTTAGAAGTAGACAGATTTAGGTATGTTTGAGTCCTATATCAACTGAGTAAATAGGATATGAGTGGGGGTGTGAAAGGCTCTTATGAGTAAAGTTCTATTAATCACTCAGAGGCTCCCTCTCCCTCCCTCTCCACCCCACTCCTCTCTCTCCAACTTTATATTTCTGTCCTTACTTCTTGGTTCTCAGCTGTGTTATAGCTACTTAAAGTTATCAGCTGACAATTAGATAAATGAACTTTGCATAGTCGGCTACATTCCTTGGTGCTTACATAAAATGTATTTCTTTGACTTTAATGTGTTCACCATAATGCATTCAGCATAGATGAAAAGAATGTGTATTGGGTAACAAATGTTACCCTAGATGTACTGACCCCTATGTTGAAATCAGCTCATTTGCAGAACACCACATGTATCTGCAATAGAGTAATCAGCTTTACCCTAAATCAGATAACCCACTATGTTATTTAAAACTTTTGGAATTCTCAGCTTTGAGTCAAGATAAACAATTTTTTTAAAAGATACCATGTACATAGAGAATTAATTCTGCAGCTCTTGAAAGTCACTGAATTCAAGTTCATCAAGTCTAAAGACCTCGGCTGTGCTTTCTAAAGGTTTCATTGCTCTGTTTATTATCAGTCAGAGATAACTTGACATTGAAGTGTTCCTCCCAGAATGGCTTGGCACTTCACTGGGTTTTAGATGCTCTAAATGATGTTTTGCATTTAAAAAAAGCGGCTTGGGGCTTATCTTCAAATGGAAGTGGAATCAAAACATACCATACATATCATGTATAGCTACTTAGCATACATGTACCTCATGAGTTTTGTGGCCATAAAAATGCACACAAAGGGCATGTGTACCCAGACCCCTAGTCTACATAGCCTCGCCTAAGAGATATTTGTGTGGCCTGGTCTCTATCATTCTGCTTCAGAGCTTTGATGTCAAATTCTGCCTTTTCTCCCAAGTAATTCCAGGAGGAAGATATCATCCAAGAAAGTCACTTCTATTTTTGTGGCTATGGCCCAGGCCACTGCCTGCAGGCAAGGGATGGAGTTCCAATGGAAGGTCCTGGCATTTATAGTCCTCAGCTACCAGCCCCTCTTCTAAGGGAGAGAGAAACCATATGGAAACTACGTGGACTGACCCAAGAGGATTGACACCATTTCTCAGGCTCTCTTCCCTTTCACTTTCCTCACCTTCAACATCTCCCACTGGGTTTTCTATAAAGTGCTACGGTCAGAATATATCCACCAGGTACTCTGAATAGGATTGGGACTAGAGAGTCCAGCTGTTGGCTTCCTGCTTCCTTCTGGGGGTGTTTTCCCCCT